TGTCTGATAGGCACTAGACTTATTATTATTATTATCATCTAGCAATAAATATTCAATTATATACTTTATCAACTTTATTATTATTATAGACTACCGTATTATTATTATTATTGTCATTATTATCATTATTAGTTTATTTTACAAACATTATCTAGGCACCATAAATTGCTTGCTTATTCATTGAGCTGTGATCGGAATTGAGTGAAAATGGAAGGCGTGAAATGGTTCAAAAGAATCACATCGTTATAAATTTCAGGTTCGGCCAACGGAGCCTGTGGCAGTAGAACATAACCAGGAGCTGTGCTTGCGTATCGAGGTACGTTGCTTGGCGATGCTTTCACCACTTCGTAATGTAACGGAGACGATAACGCATTCTTCAGTTTCTAAAATTAATGAACATTCATCCAAAAAATGTATTTCATAACGATGTATTTGCATCTCTGTCATACGTGTGAACTGTATCGTAGCACTGCGCTTTCTCACTCTACTATCTGTACAAAAAATTTTCATTTATGATTAATAAACTCCCTCTCGGCAATGTAAACCGAATTACAGACTGATTACGTTGCTCAATGATAATCGTGAAAAGGCTCGCGAAGTAAACGGAAAGCGATGCTTATAATTAGGAAAAATTCTTGAAAAATGTCTGTCTTTTAGAAGCAGCTATGATAAGGTAAAGCAGCTCCACTCTCACCTGCCACTTCGTGACACCCGGTCCTTTGACGCATCTCCTGCAGATAGTGAACTGCATAACCAATGGTATTGGTAGCAATGGAACAAGAGCGATAACCCAACCGATCACTTCAGAATATTTCCATTCATGAATACCAGACGAATAGATCGAATAATTGTAACCCATCATATTCAGTACAGCGATCGCCTTAAAATGAACTTTTTGCGTCATAAATCAGCACTCCGAGAATGGTGATTAATTAATCAATAGTATAAGACCATTATTTCGGATGAGCTATCAATTGATCACGATCAAGCAATTCGAATGAAGAAATGAATGAAAAAAAGTGCTCACAATAGGTATAAGTGGAAGAAGATATGTGAAAAAGAGTAGAAAATGACCGAAACACCAACAACACGCACGTGGAAGCATCGTATGAAGGTCTTTGCCAAGCTTATGACCACCTAAAAAACACTCGATTTTTAATGATTTACCAATAGATTAGTCATTTTATTGAATTATAAGACAGTCTCCGATTCAATAACCACAAATTTCAATGATAAATTCAACTTGAAGGTAATAATCACGTTTTGTTATACACCGAAATTGATCAATCAGTTGATCACCAACTGATCAATTGATCAAACCGATCGAAAAAAAGAGCTATCGATCAATTTTGTACGGGATTCTTTAAAGGTGTGCAATTGCATTAATAAGTTATTTGGTCAAACAAAAGAGTTCAAAAAGGAAATGATAAAAACAACACTCACAATAAAACCATCCAATTGCGAGCAGTTCAAAGAAGAGGATCGTCCACAAGGTTACATATTTCATGTAACCACCAGCCAGCTCATAAGCGTAATGACCTCCCTGAAATAATCACATAATCACCTCTTTTGTCGCGAAATTTACATCTTGAATCTTGAACTAACTCACTGAATATTCATTGATTTCAGTTTGGTGCTCAAAGTTTCAATGCTAAATGTAGTATGATGCGAGGACGGGGAAAATCAGGGACGAAATTTTGCAGTCAGGGACCCCGAAAATGTTGTCGGTTGAAAAAAAGACGGCGATTCGGAGACAGACACCCCGAAATTCCCCGATCCTCGCAGCACACTAGCTAAGTGTGCTAATAAATAAGCAATCTCTTTACATCGATGGATTTGCTATAATATTATTACTTTGTTCATCCTTGATGTATAATGCCACAAATTATCAAATTTTGCGTTCACTATTTCAGTTGCATTGAAATTGACTACTCAAAAAATTGCACATATATTTCTAAAATTCACCACTTCAAAATATAACTGACGGTAAGAGATCAGATTTAAAAAAACGCACCTGCGTTGTGAAATAAAGGCCAATAGCAAAGCCAAGAATGCATACGAAAAGCGCGAGGCAAAATCTTGGGAAACATTTTGAGCACTTCTCACCGAATGCATCCTCAAATGCGGCGAGCACATTCAACGAGAGCAGATACTGAAATATGCAAGTGCTATTAACTTCAAACAGATTCGTGATAAGCACACATAATGTCGTTCATTGAGAATATTGTTACATTGTTCTCGCCATTCAAAAGAATCAATCCAAAAGACATGAGAATGAATGCAGAAAATGGAATGACTCACGAAGATATTCAGTAGAACAAATATACACATGAAGAGGATGATGCCAGTCCAAATTCGTGTATCCGGAACATACGACATATACGCAAGGATGTGCCACATTTGCGTTTCTCCTTCAAAACTCAATCAAAAAACTGTCGCCAAAAGTTTACGCGACATTTTCATTCGAAATTTTTTGATTTTCTTCAGCGTTCCAATGTCGCTTTCATAATTTCACTTGAATGTTTTTTGCTTGAAGTATTTTGATCACACGGTTCCATAGCACAACAAGATGAATAGAGAAGCTGAGGTGAGCGCTACCTTTGTCGAGAAGTTCAATGGGCTGCAATCCTGTACGTGCACTGATATGCCCAACAAAACCGATAATCGCTAACACTTGCATTAGAGTAAGCACTGCATGACCAAATAAAACGACCAATGTATCGCTGAAAATTTCACCATTTCACAACAAAATTCAGTCAGAAACTATATTCACTGCTCCTCAACATGTTTAACGTTTCGTTCGATTCAATCAGTCATCGCTGCATTCGGTCAGAACCACATATGAACACTTCGAGTAAAGAACTGAAATTTAACTGAAACTGTTACCCAACAAGGTTGTTCGATCGTTTATTATAAGAGCCGATCGTAATGAACGCACCGAAACCGATACCAGTAGCGAGAATCGCTTGTTCTACTGCTGTTTTCCACATCTTCAAATGGATGCAATGCTAATGAGAACAACAGCAATGTGATTATTATCTACGCTAAATCATTCAGCCCTAGTGAATCAATAATAATAGTTATAAAGAATTATAATAACAAGAATAGCAATAATAATAATGATGTTAATAATAATATGAAATCATGCAGCCGTGATAACAAGGATAACAATGTTATATGATAGAAATATAAACAATTTACAGTTATATTATAAAAATATGACAGGTTGTAATTATTTGCAATAAATTCGAGTGCAAAATCACATTCAGCGAACGATATCACGCGAACGCAGTAAATAGTCAAATGATACCATGTAATCCATCATTCGCTGCCAATCGGTTGCATAATAAAACTTCTGAAGAACTGCCCCTAAGCCATTCAGCGTCAAAGCTCGCACCAAAACCAGCGAAAGCAGTAGAACGGGTGATATGAACGTGAAGTGAGTCACCTGAAATGATAACAATTCGAAATTAACAAATTCCTGCAAAAAACGCCTTCTGCTTCCTGACACAATAAATGATGGAACTTATTG